GATGTTTAATAAGTTTCTATTAGTTCAATAGTATTGTTGAAAGATTATGCTATTTTTTTAATTAGAATTTTCAAGTAGGCTTTTGACTCTTTAGTTTTTTTACTTTTTGCACTTAGTGGTTTTATTATACATTTGCACAAAAGTCTTATACAATACTGATTATTAATATTTCTCTCTATATATATAATATTATACTTAGCATAGATGCTCTAGCTCTTATTTAAGATAATACAACTGAAAGTTATAAATATTTTAATTCAACTAATCAACAAAAACAGTTATCATAATATAGATATAATTTTTAAAATTCATTATTTATAAGATTTGAATTCTAGACCTGCAACTTAAAAATTAACAATCTGTTTGCTTTACTAAATTACTATATCTCTAAAAAATATATATTATAATTAATATAAAGAAGATTTATAGTAAAAGATTGGTCTTTTTAAAATTAAAAACATTTTCAATATTATAAAATATCTAAAAATAAAAAATAGCTATAAGAGGTGTGGTGACCTAGTGAAGTGGTCAGGTTGTTAACTCTTTAAGTGGTAAGTTGTAAGTTTAAAACCTACAGATAATGAAATTTAGATAATTACCTATGTAATATTCATATTATAGTAATAGCATTTTGTCAATTAGTTAGGATAGAATATCTGTAACTATGGTCATATTAGCATAACTGGCAGATCAGAGGCATCTGTGTAACCTTGGTTACACAGGGGGATGCAAACTAGTATCAGGCAGTGCAAACTCAAGATAAGTTTTTTGGTCATGTAAATCTGTAAAACTAGAAAAACTGAAGTCTACTTGAAAAGACCCAAGTAAAGAAATAACACAGATCTTTGATAGTATTACTGTAAAAGCTAGATCTAAGAAACAAATATCAATATGAAGAAATTAGGTAGACAAAAACCTCTAGGTAAAGAATATTACCAACTAGACAGCCAGAAAACAGACTAAAGAAAAAGAATATTAGGCTAAACTCGATATATCAAGACAGGTCACAGTCCTACTAGACTATTTAGATTGGAAGTCTGAGATCAAAGCAGGAATATACTATAAGTACTAGAAATATGCTATTAAGTTGGTACTAGAGTCTGAATGAACTTTGCAAGAGTATATTCTGTTAATGTTCTATAATAAAAGTGAGTAGATTAGTTAACAAAGAGGCACTCTGGGTCTTATAGTTAGGTAACATGCTCTGAAATATATAACAGCATGACAGATGTATAACAAGAGAGGTTACATGTTGAGTTAAATAGCACCAAGATGTATAGGAACCTTAAGGCTATTTGACTAGTATAAGTATAAAAGATCAGAGTGTTTAACTAGGTAATCTCTTAGTAAATTATAGATATAACAACTAGTATAAAACTTTCAGATGGACTACTTAAAATAGATAACCAAAAGTTGTATAAGTAGCTAGTTATATACTCATCTTGTACAAGTTATATATAATATATAATTAAAATATACAATAAAGATAATAGCTACTAATAGACATTAGCCTTAGTAAAAGCAAAAAAAAAATATAGCTATATATATATAAATGTAATCTATTTTGTATATCTAAAAGTATTAAACTAAAGTTTTAATTATATTTATATGAATGTTTATAATAAAATAAAGAAATATACTAATATAAATATTATACTAATTAAGCTTGAAATACTTTAAATTAAAATAATAAAAATATTACAATAATCAATAATTAGAAAAATTATTTAAAATATAGTTTAGCTTATATTAAAAATAATATTAAAACCAAGAAAAATACAAATTACAACAATAGCAAAAACTTGATTTGAGATATATACTACTAATATTTAAATTAAAAAGTTAGCAATAGCAGAATCTTAACTTAAAATATATACTATAAGATGCTTTTTGAGTATAACAAAAATAAAAGCTAAAAAAAATAAATAACTTAGTAAATTAATTTGAATGTTGTTAAAATAAATTGTAAGATATAAAGAAAATAAGTAAGTTACTTAATATAATTAAATATAAAGCAAAAATTCAAATTAAGTATAAATAAAATATAATACAAAATTTTAATAAGTTTAGGTTTTAGATAAATAAGTTTAAAGTTCTATATTATAATAAATATATAAAATAATAGACAATATATAATATAAAAAGTTGTATAAACTATAACAATATGTACTAATAAAATAAAGATTTTGAGAAATAATATATCAAGAGACAAAAACAAATACACAATATATACAGAAGGTATAGCAAATAGAAAAAACAAAGAAAAAACAATAAATAAAAACATAGGTATAAGATAAGTAAAGCACAAAATTAATTAGAAAAGAAGATAATATTAGAGATAAAAAGATGACCTACATTAACTACAGCTGAGATACTAGCAATATGGACAGCAGTTTTAATAATATCAAAAAAAAACTAGAAATATATACAGATAGCAATGCAGCAATTAGAAATATTAATAAAGGCTTAGTATATATAAATAGAAATGAAGTTCTTAAAAAAAAAAAGCACTATAGGTATTGAAGATAATTGATATAATTAGAACAAAAAAATATTTAGGTAAAATAGTTCAAAGTTAAAAATCATAGTAGGAACAAATAAAATGATAAAGCTGATAGTCTAGCAAAAAAGAAAACATTAAATAGAAAGATAATTTTTTCAGAAAAAGTTAGTCATAAAAAGATAGAGTACTGTCTAGAGTAAGAAAACAAGTGAATAGACTTATTAGTAAGACTTTATGTAAAATAGTAACAAATATCAAATTGGGAATAGAGTAAAAAAAAACAACAGTGATCAAGAATTTAGAATCAATAACAAAAACAAAAATCTATGATTGGACATACTTTTGAAAAAGACTGAAGTCATCTAAAGAGATATATTGTTTGACAAAAAGAAACGATATAAGAAATGCTTTCATAAAATATATATTGAACAAACTTTTAACTTTGAAAGAATTTAACAAAAGAAGATCAGATATATATACAATAACAGAATGCCAAGTTTGCCAAAACAAAATAAAAAAAATACAAAAACATTTAGCATCTTGTAAGGGACAAGCAAATCTATAAAAAAGAATACAGAAAGTATCTATCATAATAGCATAAAAAAGTTTAAAATAAGGAAAAAAAATTTGGGGTTCACCTTATATATTCTATATGAAACTTTTTAAAAAAACAAAAAGAGATAAAATAGAAATAAGAAAAGCACTAATCAAAGAACTAATTTCAGAAACAACCTAGAACAAATTATTACAACTTTTAAGTACAAAAACAAAACAACAGTTTATGAACATAGTAGCAGAAACAGCATAGAACATATTTTATAAACAAGTTTAAAGAATATGCTATAAAAAAGTTAATTTATAGGAAAAAAAAAAAAATAACAAGTTAAGTAAAAAAGAAAAACAGAAGAAAAAGACTAATTAGCAAGAAATAAAAAAAAAAATATATATATATAAAAAGAAAGTTAGAAAGACAGTTTGAGAGCTTGTCATGAGAAGTGAAAGACTCTTTCATTATGAACTTTAAGTAGTCAAACAAGCAGCTTACCTCTGCTGAAAGTAATGCAGCAGATTGCACTTAGGTGCTATTAGAGTAGCTAGGTAATGCTAGGCTTAATTGTTAGATATGTTTATGTAATTGCAATAGTAATTTCAAAAATCTTAATAAAACACTAGTGTGACTACTTATATATATAAAATATATATATATATATATATATACTAATAAAAATCTAAAAGCATAACTTTATTTTAACATTAAAAAACTAACAAAAATAGTACAAGATATAATCTATTTATTAAAAAAAATAAAAATGCTTTTAACTATAATGCTTAATACAATATAAAAGTTATTATAAAACTATAAAAAATTTTTATTTTGTAAAAAAATAAATTAATATCAAAACTAAAAAAAAAGTACAAAACAGAACTAATAGAAAAAAATAAAACTAATTGTAAAAAGTTTTAACAAAATAAAACAAAACAAAACTATAATAAAACAAAAAAAAAAAATTAAAAATTCATAAAACATAATTTAATTTTATAAAAAAATTATTTATAATAAATTAAATTATTTGTATATTATATTTTAGATTAGTTTAATACAATCTTTAAATCTAAATATATTTTTAACCAATATAACTACTTTTAAACACATAAAAACAACCAAAAAATATTAAACCAAAAAAATATGTATATGTAATGCACAAAAATCTTAATCAAGGTTTATAACAAAACTGCCAAAGTAAAAAAAAACCAAATATTACTATTTTAAAAAATTCTATTTACAAAAAAAATTAATTATTTTATTAATAATAAAAACTATATTGTCAAAATACTGTAAAAATAACTTATTTAAAATAATTAAATATTTTTAATATTATGTTCTCCATATAATAAACAAATAATACATTTAAGTATTAAATTAAACAAACAACAGTTAGTATTAAAACAACTTCTATGTATAAAAATATTATTTCAACATAATGCTCCAATGATTTTACAATCAATCGAAAATCTAATTTTTTAAATGAAATCATGTTTCAATTTTATTATTCATAATAATTATAAACAAACATAATAATAATAAAATCTTTATTTTTCTTAATAAACAGCATGATCATAACCATATTTAGTATAAAATTCATAAAAAAAAACATTTTTGTTTAGGAGAAACAAAGATTAATTTTTTTTTTTATAGATTTTTCCAACTACTTTTTTTTGTAAAACATACCATTAATGATTTTAATCGGTACAGCAGCATGATTTCTGATTAGCTGTAGACATTATAGCATCAACAGTTCTTTGCCGCCTTAGCGTAACGAGTTTATTATTGTAACTAAATACAAAATTTTACATACCAATGTAAACAATAATGTAAATTGTTTGTTAGAAATTAGATGATATACCAAAAATGATAATGTATATATATAATTTTTCATAATTTGTTTATCAATGATTTTTTCTATGAGCCATTGTAATAATTATTTCGTTTCAACTGTTATCTAGTATTAGTAAATTCTTCATTTGCAAATTCAGTATAATTTTTAATATGCCTAGACCGCCGATGCTTTGCTCTTTGGTATTTATATGTGAGATTCATAATATCCTAAAAGTTAAACAAAATAAATCAATCATCATGTATTAAAATATTAAACCCAAAAAAATCACGAACCTTTATGACTATAAATAGACATCCACCAAGAACATTGCGATGAAAAGTATCTGGTATACGTGAGCGAATAAATGAAAATCGACCAAGGAAGCTATTGAGAAAACATATAATTGTCAATTGCATGTATAGCTATAAATACATTATAAACGGGAAATCTGTATTCACCTTCCAACCATAGCAGAAATAACTAATTGCATATGTAGTAATTAATTATTGCGTCGAGTAAAAGCAATATAAAATACTTAAATTATCTTATAGACTTACATGGCAAGCACAATGCACCAATAATTTTGCGTCCAGCATTACTTCTATCCAAACGATCCAACATATCTTGATTTTCCCGACGTCGTTCATTACCATTTTCACCATTTTCAGAATCTGTCGTAACTGAATACGGTTCTAGCTGCCTACGCCATGATTGCTCAAGTCGACCAAACAAACGGTTATAAGTATAATTATAAATGATTCTAGCCCATGGTAAGAGAGAGATTGTAAGAGATGGGTTCAGAGGCATTGTAGTTCTTAATTGATCATATCTGATGAATAGCATAGGGATAAGTGGCATCACCGGATCGGCAATACGAGCCCTCGAAAAGATAAGCAATATCGGAACGAGAGGGAGAGTAAACTATTTATAAATAGCATAGAATATATATCATACGGTTTCTCGTTAATATAATGTCATCCATATGCGTCGATTATTAGAGATACTTACACAGATCCTCCAGCTCCAGGGCCCTTCTAAAAGTCGTTCACCATCTTCGAGGCCAACCATCGTGATTACTGCATACGCTCTAAGACAATTAAAAAATCGTCAATATTTATTATGCTACGATAAGTTTGAATTGTTATGTTTTCCACCAACCCATAGTGAATATTTGTAACTGCGATTGCGAAAGTAACACCGAAAATAGTGAAATATGGAATCGAAGATTGGATTGCAGAATCAACGATAGAAAAAACGCGTAAAAGAAGGGACGCTCGTTCAGCGAGATGGTATAAGGTTCTGCATTGGGGACACCGTACCTATTAGAATGAATTAAGTGTCAGTATATTTTAATTCGGTTAAAATGATTTAGATTATTTAAGACGAACCTTCTTTAGCGCAGTACTTTTCTGGTTTTCTGTAATCCAAGCAAGCAAACACTCTTCATGACATATAAGAGAACATTTACAGGGGCGGACCCATTTACCCACACTGTCGGATTCTTCGCCAAAGCAAATCCAACACCTTTTATCTTTTGCTTCTTCAGGTTGCATTAGTGAACGCACATCAGTAATTATTTGAGTTGAAGTTGACGCATTCCCTGAACTAGTCTGAATTGTTGGTGACAAGTCATTGATTCCTGTTCGATCTTCATTGCGAGTGTTTAGTCGATATGGGTCGTTCTCTACAACTGCAGATAAATCACGATCAATACGAACGATTGGAGGAAATGGTGTTGATGACATAAGAAAAACAAGTTTGTCAAAATAGTTTATGGGTATACTGTGGAAAAAAAAAGAATGTTTTTTTATGAGCCAAGTAAACTCACAAGCGCAATAATTGTGTTTTGCAATACCACAATCGCTTCTACGTGTTTAAAAATGTGGCGATTGGCAATATAGTTATATTATAGTTCCTTTCTTTTTGCGCTAGGTGTGATAAGACTACTTGTAATAATAAGGATCTATAAAAAACGAAAAAAAAACTTACAAAATGTTTAAATCTAAAGAGGTTTAAAAACGAACGTGATTGTCGTCTTCACTATTTATATTTACAATACGATAGAACGTGACTTCATTGATTTTTTTTGCAATTTTGCGGATCACCCGACTCGTATCTATGGTGCAACCTTCGATCTAACTCAGAATATTTTGAATCGCAAGCATAATGACGACAACTCCAGCGGCCTATGCTGCAAAAGTAATGTCCTCTTCCTCATTTTCAGAAGCACGATCAAGAGTACTCTCTTTATATAGAGATTGGCAACGGGCGGTAAAAATATTACTAATTTCCGTTTCAATACTGAACATTGTACAAGTACTACTTCCTATCAGATTCTTATTCACAAGTTTATTTAAGAAAGGCTCCAAATATAGTTCAATCATATCTTCTTGATTTTCCCGTAGCAACGGCACGTGCGAAAATCAGAGAAGAGTTTGAAAAAAACCGTTATGTTAGCGATTTAAGGGTAATTGACGTCTTGATTTTTAAGGGACGTGCCGAATATCAAGAAACCCTTAATAATTGGAAAATGGACTCGCATATCATGAGGTACTTTTCGAAAGAAGAATCACCTCCTAAGCCCGAAGGTTTTCTGGAAAAGTTTTATGGTATAGAGATTAATTTTCGGCCCATAACTTTTTAAAATACCATTCTTTAATAACAGACAATTTCTTGCAGAGGGTCGTGACTAGTGGCCATAGTCGATCAAAGGCTTATGAGCGTAGCCGAGTCGATAATTTCAATACGGCTTAGTTTGTTATCTCTAGAAATTAAATCTTCAAACAATAAATTATAATCCAAAAACCAATGCTACCCACACGCTTCATATTCTTGTTTTATTTATATAACGATAAAAAGAATCAAAGAATTGTGTGCCAGGTTTTGTCCACCATGATCGACAAAATTAAGAAAAAATTTTCTTGAAAAATTAAAAAAAATTTAAAATAAATGTATACCAGTATTTTCATAAAGTTTATTAATAACTTTCCCAGATCATTATATTAAGGTCACAGGATTATATATAGTTTAAATTTACCAAAGTAATTATATTACACAATGGTTTTTTTTCTTTTAAAGAGAGGTCTATTCTTTGTTTTTTTTTATTATAATTAGTTAGTTTTATATATATAAAGATACATAATAAAGAAACTAAAATTAAGTAAGATAGAGGTAAGAGTTACTTTATTCTTGATTTATTTTTGTTAAAATGGTTATAAATCTCTAGTCTTTAATATTACCAATTTAGATGTCCTGATATGATATATTTATATATCCTTTTTTTCTGGCGAATCTGGTGGCCTAATTGGTTATATGTTCTTCTACACATATTTGATGTTTGGTTTTAATCTTTGGTTTCTATGAAGGTGTTTTGTGGGTTTCAATTGGTCTGATAGTACCATTGAAAGTTCATGTTATTTCTTTACTTAGGAATTTCTAAGTGGGTTTCATCATCTTGGTTTCTTAGTTTTCTATACTCGATGGTTTTATTGTGGGTTTGCATCAAAGTCTCATGTATTACTGGTAAGCATTTTTCTATATATATGTAATTTTACACTTCGCATAGATGCCTGAGCTTCCAAAGTTGGGGGACCTGATCTGGCATACCTGGGTAATAGCCACATGAGGCCAACTGATTAACAGAAAATAGTTACTATAATGCAGATATAATTTTTAAATTTCATCATAGGTAGGATTTGAACCTTAAATCTGCCACTTAGAGGATAACAACCCAACTATTACACTAGGATCATCATTCTCTATTTTATATATAATTTAAAAGCTATACTCTTTACTTTTAATATATCATATTTTAATATTATAATTGTTAGTAATATTTTATTTTAACAGTTTTTTACATATTTTAAATATTTTTTATATTATTGTTTTAAAAATTATTAGTTAGTTGTTTTTAAAATTAAGAATATATTGTAATAATAAGAAAAAATAAAAAAAGATAATAAAAAAAATAAATAATAATGGAGTGTGGTGACCTAGTGAAGTGGTCAGATTGTCAACCCCCCAAGTGGTAGATTGGATGTTCAAATCCCATCGACAGTGAAAATTTGGATAATCACCTATATAATATTTATATTATGGCAACTGTTACTAACGATTAGGTTAGGATACCTGTAATGGTGGTCACACCAGCATGACTGGCAGGTCATGGGGCATC